TTGATACAAGTAGCATCTATATGACTGTACTTCACACAGTATATTTAATAAAGATATTTAATCTTCTATATATATAAAAGTGAAAGACCCCCTCATGCATCATCACAAAATCTCCAGAACTGTAAAGCCTACAAAATTGAAAGTTGGCACCTATGTTCCTCTTGGCTTCTAGGGGCTCACTAAGAAAGGATTTTTCGAAATGACCATCAGAGCATTTAGACTATTTCCTATATTATAATTATTATTATTAATTATTAATTATTAATTATTAATTATTATTATTATTATTATTATTATTATTATTATTATTATTATTATTATCACGCTCTGATGCTAAGGAGTTCTACTCCCTTCCCCACCTGAAAAGAAATCTCTTCCAAATGCAAAACACAAGCAGAGGAGAGGAGGTTCAGTTTCAGTTTTACTTTCATAGCTTTAGTACAGAACAGTTGAGCTAAGCCACGCCCAGGCTCCTTGCTGTCTCCTTCTTGCTCACACAGCAAATACTGTTTCAGTTTCCAAACAGCCCTCAACTCTCTCACACACTAACGGGACGCTAGCCAGATGGATACCAATGGATGCTGGTAGGCAGAGGCAGAATTTTTTGCCCCTTATTTCCCTCCCCAAAAACTAAGCCCGATCACATAGTTTCGTAGCTAAGCATGGGTATCGAGCTAGTAGTATTAATATTTGTTACATTAATCTAAGTTATGTAACACTACCCTGTTTCTACAACAATATGGCCTCCCCCAATAGGAAGTCCCAGCATGTTTTATAGGCATGAAATTAAAACATGCGAAATGGGGGGGAATGGTGGGGGGGCTTGCCGTTAGGAAGTACTTTTGTTGCACACCCAGATATGGTGCTGCCTGCGTTGACCCCGATACGAAGTGCCCCACCAACGCCAAGGTCAACATCCAAGCCGTCGCCGCCCGCCCGCCTGAAGATGCAAGGGGGGGGGGGAATTAAGTCACCCCCGAAAAGACGGCCTAGCCATTTTGGGGGGGCTCAAAAAAAATAAGACCCAGCCTTATTATATGAGAAACACGGTAGTATTAATATACATGTTTGTTTTAAAGTAGTTATTCAATATTTCAATGTTCCATTTAAAGCCAATGGTAATACTATTTAAGCATACATAGTAATATCAATTTTAACCTCTAATCTTTCCATCTAGTTATTGCTTATATTCTATTATATAAAAATTATATATGCCAATCACCAGGAGAGGGTGAGTTCTAGTCCCACCTTAGGCATGAAAGACAGGTGGGTGTCCCTGGGCCAATCACCAGGAGAGGGCGTGTTCCTCCAAATGATGGAGGGGAGCCACTGCAGGGAAGGCCCTTCTCAGTCCCACCGGCTGACCACCTCAGCAAAGGAGACGAGCAATTACACACAAAAATAAATATTGTGATCTCTTTGCACATCAACCAGAAATGGATGGCCACAGAGATAGAACCAACCACAAAAAAATAAAGTCAAAGAAGACTCCACCCTACCTCCTGGAGGATCGCGCTTTTTTCCAAATGTTGGAAAGGGTTCGAGCCGCTACCTGAAGGAGACAAAAGTACACGACATGAGCCCATGACACTTCAAACAAGTGGGATTTGCAATGCTCCCTTAGATACTTTCAGCAATGCCAAGTGAGACCCTCCCATCAAAAAGTCCCATCCCCACGGAACGGAGGCTACATGCAATTGTTGTGGTTTGTGGGCAGCCTGCAGAGCTGGCAGCAGAGTCGGACAGTGGGGAGGAACATGGGCCAGTCCGGGAGTCTGGGGAGGACTTGGATGAGGGTCCTGCGTCTGATACAGAGATGGGGCCAGGGTCATCTGGGAGTTATGTGCTGACTCCAGAGCCTCCAGAATCTGACATCAGCGAGGAAGAGGAACAGGAGGAGCCTGTTCCCAGTGCTTGCTTGCACAGAGCTGCCAGAAGGCTAAGACAAAAGGGGAGACTCAGGAGTAAGGCTTGGAGATGATTGGCCCCTCCCATAAGACATAAAGGGGGAGCAAAGGAACAGGAGCCTTTGCAGGAAGCAACTTTGTTTGTTCTGGTCGGTTTAAATTCTGAAGCTCCATATTGACTTTGTGCTCTGTTTGGCCTTGTATAACTAATTGAACATTTAGTCGTTGGCAGCATTTCAAGGAAGATAAAGGTTATCAGACTTATCCTGAAGGACTTTGGCAGACTTCCATGGGACGATTACAAACTGTTTGGGACTCATTACGGGCTGTGAATGACTAACATTCACAGCTGTTGAAATAAGAAAAAAGGGTTTTGGGACTAATGTTTGTTTGTTAGTGTCTCCATAAGTCGTACATGACGGTGATGAGGCGAAACAGACCTTCTTGGCCTCATGATTTTTTTTTTCCTTCCAAGGCTTGAACTACAGAATAACAGAGGTCTTCTAGTGACACAGTTAAGATCTGGCTTCCCCACTGGCTTTCCTCATCAGAAAGTTACAAAAGATGATCACATGACCTCAGGACACTACAATCATCATAAATATGAACCAGCTGCCAAGCATCAGAATTTTGATCTTGTGACCATGGGGAGGCTGCAATAGTCCTAAGTGTGAAAAATGGCCATAAGTCACTTTTTTCAGGGCCGTTGTAACTTTGAACGATCACTGAATGAACTGTTCCAAGTCAAGGACTACCCGTACAAGTATCAGAGGGAATGAGGGATTGCGAGAGCGGCTGGGAAACTGTCACAGTACGCTGAAAATGTAGATCGTGTGACTACAAGCTACAACTAGCAGCAACGAAGCAGCCACCATTTCCCCAAATTTCATTCCCGGAGGAATAACAGGTCTGTTCTGACCCAGGCTTGGTCAAACATAATTAATCACAAACTTGTTTTAAAAGCAAAACCTATTTTATTGCTTTATATGCTGGGAATTGTTTGCCTTCCCAGCCAGATCTTAAACAGTTCCCCAAGATAAGCACATACCTTTCAGTTTTGTCGAATGCTGCCAAAAACAGAAATATCCAATTAATTATAAAAGAAACCAACCAAAGTACAAGAAAAAAACCAACCAAAGTACACAGAGCCTCAAGGGGACTTGGAACCAATCGAACTACTTTGCTTCCTGCAAAGGTTTCGTCATCTTTGCCTGACTTTTATCCCTTATGGGAGGGGCAATCACCTCCCAGCCTTACTCCCAAGTTGCCCCTTTTGTTTCAGCTGCTCTCGCCTTCTAGCAGCTCTGCGCACGCACATACTGGGAACAGGCTCCCCTTGTTCCTCTGCCTCGCTGCTGCCAAACTCCAAAGGCTCCGAAGGCAGCACCCCACTCCCAGATGGTCCTGGCCCTATCTCTGCATCGGATGCAGGATCCTCATCCGTCTCCTCTCCAGACTCCCTGACTGGTCCCCTTTCTTCCTCACTGTCCGATTCCACTGCTGGCTGCACCGGCTGCCGGTGAACCACAACGAGGTCCCAGATTTTGGCCACACTCTTTACAATAGCCCATTGGAGAGACCTTGGTTCCAAAATCGCTGCCTCTATGATGCGCTGCCTCTATGATGCGCTCTCAACGAGTTTTAGTAATACGTAGCCTGGCAATATTTGCCATGCAAGGACCTTGTCACCCCAAACGCTTGGAGGTAAGGCAGGTGTGGTTGGCCTCTGTACCTGGGGACCCTCATTTGTAAAAAAAAAATACCCACTTCACGAATGCATGGCACAACATAGACCAAACTCATCGGGACAAGATTCAGCAGCCCACCTCCATTTAAAAGACAAAGGTCACTCTTTGGAAGACAGCAAAGTCCACATTTTGGGCATAGAGGACCGCTGGTTTGATGGCGGTGTCAACTCGTAAAGCATTCCTATGCCTGTTTCCGAGTTGCCATAAGGAGAGAGGGGGGAAACCTGAAGGAGCAGTACAGCAATTAAAACCAGAAACACATTCCACACTTATCTTATAAAGATTGTAGCCTAGGCTACTGGATCTTCTGCCCGGGGAAAATCCTTCATTGGAGAATGTGATTGATGACACCCTGCCCATGAACTTGTGTCATTGGAGAATCTGATTGAGGACACATCCAGGGGTTGTGGTGGTGGGAAACAGAGTCATAGGTGATAGTAAATTACGTGTGTCAGAGTTGGCTTCATACGGGTTAGTGCTGGACATGTTGCTCCTAATAAATTTTTTTGATTCTTTTGAAGCTTGGCTCGAGGCTCATGATTTAATTAGGGCAATCGTTGGAACTCTGACAGGCGGGGTTTAAAGAGGCCATCTGTGTCAAAATTGAACAGCCCTCCCTCAACGGAGGGGGAGGGATACAACACTATCTATCTCCAATCTACAACACAATCCTTTCAACAGTTCCAAGAAGGCTCCATACTCCTCAGGTGACCCTGAGGACGCAGATAAACCTCAAGGTGGCCTCAACGACTCTCAGAGAGAGTACAAATGACCAGATGACTTTAAGAAATATAAATCCCTTACTATTCGGTCAGAACTGAGGAAGCTTCTTGGATGAGAAGTGAAACATCTTCAAAGGACAAAACAAAAAAGGTCCAGTTGCCTCTTGAAAAAGCCCCTTTGGGACCCTCATTTGAAGTTCAGTTTTGACTAAGATTGAGAAGATGGGAGTTCAAGTCAAATTTGAGCCATCAGGGGGACTTTGGGTCAGTCCCTCTCTCTTTATCCAAGAGTCAGGGGCCTTTTTTGGGGAAGAGGGTTCGGCTAGAGAGGGTCCGCCTTTGCTCAGACGTGGAAGATCTTTCAGGGAAAGAAAAAAGCAGGGCCTGGGGGTGGAGTCAAGAGAGGAATCGGCCTGGAATCATTACGTTGTCACAAAGGCTCCAATT